GCAGCCATGGCTACTGTATGATAGGGGCTATACAAGGACAAGGACTTTTCCAATGTCAGGATGCATGGCTTTGTTCACCAGTTGGAAATAGCCATTGACAGAGAAGGAAACGCTGTTGAAAAATATCTGCGTTTGGCAACGATGTAGAAATGTTCTGTGCAAGTTTAATATTTTTTCAATCATATTTGGCTGAGGGAAAAAGAAACAGTGATCCTTCCAGGCTGACCCTCGTGTATACAATTCAAAATCCTTTCTTTCTATTTTGGTCTTGTGTATGCATACTATCATCTTAAATATGTTACTTGGATTCTTTTAAAATATTGTTAACATTTACTTATTTTAATGAAAAGACACTTTGCAAAGGCCAGTAACAGTCTGATCTGAAGCTCGCTGCTGTCACTGGAAAGGCCCCCACTGACTTCAGTGGGCTTTGGATAGACCCGGAGGCGACAATTGCACAAAAATATTGGACTGAGCCCAACAAAAATCCACTCAAGACACTGCCTTAAAATATCTTTGATACCTATTTAATAGGGGGCTCTGTTGATCTCCTTTCTGATATGTTCACGTGGGCCATTTTGTTGAATAGTAAAGCACAAGTACAGAATTTCTGCATCAAAACATGGGTTTATTTTTTTCTGCCAGTACTGAGTTGACACAGTTAGTGAAAGCAGGCAGTGCAGCATGCTAGTTTTGTATCAGGAGTTTTGATGATGATCTTTAAACATAGCGGTTTGGAAAGTCAAGCAAATGCTCCTCTTTACACTGAAAGCTCTTTAGAGCAAAGGCTCTTATTATTTCTTTGTACAGCACTTAGCGCAATGGGAACCTGATGTGTTTGGAGCATCCAGGCACTGTTATATTGCATAAATTACACTGAGCTCTTGTGATTAAGGACGGTGCAAATCAATGTGTACAAGGTTGGGGCTCTTTGCCAATCCTACTGTTGATTTGTACTCGAGATGAAGAATTTCAGGATCAGGCCCAGTATCGCTAACAAATAAACTTTTGACTTAATTCCTGTAAACTGTTGTGTACTGCGGTGACATGAGTTGTGTTGGTAGATGAGAGCACAAGTACCACCCTTTATCAGAGTCCTTTCCAATGGAGTTCAATTGACAGGTACATAATTTACTTGCTTCGATGCCAATCCATATTCCAGAGAGGCTTGTAAAAGCAAACACAATATTTCACTTGAGTACATTGAAGACACAAATATAATCAGGGATTTTTACCTTAAAGATTGGTGTTACTGAAACTTGAGTGGTGATGTACTTGAATGCTCTGGTTTTTTGCTTAATGAAATGGTGATAGTATTTTAACTATTAAGGATGAATGTGCTCAGTTTGTTAGTGTGGCTCTGCATGTAGTTGTCTGGTGCATCTCTTCCAAAGCTGATAGTAGTGAGTATGGCTGTTATGCTCTTTTTTTCTTGGTGCATGTTTGATTAAAAAAACAACATTGGGGTTGATCTAATTATCTAACTAAGTGTATTTCCTAAATTAGGGGAAATTTGTCTATCATTTGATTGTATATCTGCATTTCAGTGGCTTTTTCTAAGAGTTGGTTTTGCACTTGTGTTATCCTGAATTTAAAACATGACATTTTATAAATGTATTTTTCCTCAAATTTTTATTGTTGTATATGTTAACTGGAAATTATTCTAAAACAGAAGTTTTTAAAAAAATATTTCTTTTACTTGGACTATTTCTGTTACGCTCCAATATAAAATTATTTATCTTTTCATCGTTGCTTATTAAAAAGATTACTGACAGTTTCCCAAACATTGTGAAGTTGTTTTGTTATTCACTAATTCAGACTGGGGTAAGCTTTTTGTCCTCTAGAGCAAATTTCTACCTTTATTCTATGCATGGGGTTTGCAGTGGCATAGCTAGCCATCAGTTGCTGGAATAAGTATGTTTTTCTTCTGGACTAGACATAAGAGAAGTATTGAGAAAGTGTTGGACAAAGCACCTCTGTTTTTTTGTTTTTCTTAAATGTTTGTCTTCACATCTCTACAGACAAGTAAAACCTTATATAACAACAGACATTTGTTTAAATACCAAAGCTTAGAGAAGCTGAGCCTTTATTAAAACATCCAGTATTGTATCACAAACTGTTGTTTGAGATGGCAGATGAAAGTATCAAAAAATGCTCATTAACAGCTTAGCACTGTTCCCATTGAAGGCAATACTCCAGTGAGTACATGAAGAGGTCAGGTTAGAGTGGCTTTAAAATATTTCACTCAAAGTATTCACAAGTATTTAACTGTATTGAGGGATATGCAGGATAAGAAACTACTTGCTTGCTGGAATGAGTTGTGTGTTGCACATTTACCCTGCCTAAAATGCATGCACCAACATATACTTCAGCCTTAATTATTCCTAGACTAAACACCTGTAAAAACAGTACTGTATGGGTGAGTAGGAATGAAAATTGAAAGTCATAGCTGAATTTGGAGGTATTTAAAATAATTTGTTAGATAAAAGTAACAGATCAAACTTAATATGAATACAAGGATTCAAGTCTGGTTTACTATTGCCCTAAGTATAGGTTGTCTGTAAAAACCTGATACTACTGTTGTATCTGCATGAAGGGACCTTGTCACTTCACAGAGTGTCCAAGAAGGCTCTGTATAAGTGTGTGGATTTCCCTTGTCAATCTAATGACATATCAGAACATAAACCCTGAAATTTAGTCCATCTCCTGAGGTGCTGTGGCCTCCCAGTTCCAATCGACTTCACTGGCAGCTGAGGGTTCTTAGCACTTTGCAGGACCAGACTATTAATTGCTCTGGCTCCAAATCCATTGAAGTGATGCTGATGCATCCAGCAGGTCAGGTGGAGTGTGCTGTCCTGTGAGAGAAGAGTCCTAGCTCTCAGCCAGTGATGGCTGGGCAGGCTGGGGAAGCATCTGGCCCTGCTCTGTTGGAGGAAGTGCATCAAGTTCTGTTTCTTCAGCAAAATCAACAAATTCAAGATATTCTCCTGAACCTGGAATGGGGACAGAAAAAAATAAGTTCTCCTAATTGAAACAGGTTTGTTCAAAACAAACTCTTGTGCTTTTCCAGTTTAAAATGTCCAAGTGATAAATGCATCACATGCTTAATGTAAAGGATATTAGCACATATCCTTAACAGCAAATTTTTGATGTTAGTGTTAGCAAAAATTCAGCATCTCCCTTGGGCCCAATTCTGCAACTGACAGAGCAGCAAAGGCCGCATTTTAAAGGTATGTAGGCTTTAAAAGATATGCCTAGGTGCCCAGAAGGATTTCAGAGGCACATGGATGCCAGGCTCCTAGTGATTTCAAAGGGAGTTGGGCACCCAGTGGGATTTCCAAAAGTGCTTGTCTGCAGCTTTTAAAACCTAAATACCTTTAAAAATGTGACCTCATGGGGCCAAATGCAGGTGCAGCAGTGCACTGTGATTGCATTTTTTGCGGGGGGGCCAGGATCTGTCCATAGTGGCTTTAGTTTGTGAAACTTCAAGAAACTACCTTTTCTAGTTTTGTCCATCTCCACTCAAACGATACTTGTCACCATACTCTGCTTTTGCATCACAGCATCCTTCCTCTTCATCTTCCTCTCCCACCCCAACAGCTCCATTCCCCTCCACTTTTTATTTCCCCCCCACAGTTCTCACTGCTCTTCCCCGTTATATGCCAATCCCCTCCCTACTCAAACTCCCTCTGCCGCTGCTACGCCTACAACTTTTAACACTTTCTAACTTATTTATGCAACTTTAATTTTGTGAACCTAATATTGGTAAGGTGTGTTACAGTGAAATGGGTTGTGAATTGAATTCTAAATGTACATCTGTCCTGGAGCTAAAATACCCTTAATTTATTTTTATTTCTTGATGCATGTATGCACCAGGGGCTGAAAAATTCCAGCCAGTTAATTTTGCTGGAAAACCTGACGTTGACTACTATCTAAGAAAAGATCTATATTAGCATTCAGGTAAACAGACAATCCATTAGGACGACAAGAATATACATTGTGGCAAGTGCTATCCTAAGCGTTTTTGTCGCTGCTTATTTCTGGTCTTTTGATTCCCCTTCCCTCCCATGGAGCAGTTTCAATCATTCTTCCTCCAATCTTTGTTCTCTTATTCATTGCAAGCTGAAAACAATGCAAGAAAGAAGCTCATACGCAGCGCTCCATTCTTGGCCAGTTCTTCCTCTATAGCAAGAAGGCGGTTGTATTTGGTCACCCTCTCTCCACGGGAAAGACCTCCCAACTTGATAAACCTGGCGCCCAGTCCAACAGCCTTAGGACAAGAAAGTGCATGTTTTAAAAACTCCATAGTTAAAGGAGTGAAGTCATTTCATTCCAAGCTATTTAATTTGGTGTCCTAGCTCTAAACCTAAAGCTCAACAGTATTCCTCGTCTCTATGTGGAAATAAAACCCTCCTTTAATGAGAGATTTGGATGGGTTTGCACATTAATTTTCACTTTAATAAGAAATGAGACTTTATTTCCAAATGCAGTTTCAGTACAAAAAGATTAGAGTTAATTAAGACTTTCTATACAAAGCATTATTACTGTTCAGAAATATTTTGAGTAATTCTCTTACATTTTTCCACCAACTAATGCAAGCAAATAGATAACATGCTATTCCCTGTAGCCTGCTGTGGGAATTTTCCTTTATTATTTTATTTGAATTTATTTTTAAGTTTCAAGATTAACCCTGGTAAGAGGTGACTTTCTAGAAAAAAGGCCATTTCACAAAAGGTTATGTGTCTTTCTCACACAGAGACAGCCTTTTTCCTAAATACCAGTTCATGATAAAAGCAGTGTTTTAGCAATTCTGCTGTAGAACAGATTTCTGTACTTACCAGATCTACAAGACTATCATCAGAAGATTCTCCATCTGGACTTCCTAATATGGTAATATGTCTTTGTCCTATATATAATGGGAATTTGTAGTCTTCATTAGTAAATATTTAATATATTTTACAAAGAAATAGATTTTACTTTTTATACATTGTTAATCCTTTGGGTCTTTTTAAGGTTAAATATAAACAGAGGAAGGCAAACTAATACCCTTTATAGAAATGTAAACGGCAGGCACCAGTTTAATACTTGCAATGAAACATTTGTTTGCATTTATATTATTTCTTTTACCTTTTTGGCCTAGTTTAGGGCACCCCTAACAGTTCTCCCTTGATTGTTATAATGACTATAGGCCAAGTTGATCGTTCTAGGAATGTATTCCAGAAGGTCAAATACTCTGTGTACTGAATTCTAAATGCATTCCCTAGCATTGCAGCACTGATTTTTTTTTTTTTTTCTTCACAATGAAAAATGTCCCACACCTTTTGTGAAAAAAGTTCTGAAATACATTATTCGCTCATTTTGACACATGGGATTTTATTTTCTTAGAAGGAGATTAGGGGTTTCAAGAATATATTTGACAGAAAATTTCTAGGAACACATACAGAACACACTTAGAATGACAAATGTACACTGACATAAACATTAAGAAAAAATAATGAACACGCATCATTAACCTAGAATAATTTCTACGTAGATTGTATTTGTGGAACAATTTTTATCACTAATTAAAAAACAAACCCAAAATTTTCCCCTCCTCAAGTTTCTGTTTGTTTGCTTGCTTACCTGTTTTAGTTAATTCTGGTATTTGAATATATAAAATTTGGCCATACCTTGAAAATACAAATGCTTTTATGATATGCATACTGTCCCCCTGTCCCCAAGCTGCTTTGTTAATTGAAGCCCTGGAAGCAATTTTAAGAATTCCTTTGGCATTTTCAAAATACACAAACTCCTAAGTATACCTGGTAATCAGGCCATGAATTTTAGATTCTTGTAATGAATATGCCCTAAATTGCCAGTTGCTGTATTTAGGTATAAAATGTTTAAATATTTGAAAGTGAATCATTGGGAGGGCACAATGTGGCTACTATAGGGTTTGAAATTCAGACTTTTTCACTACTCACCATCTAGAATTCTTGTAAGTTCTATCAGATCTGTTATTGTGGTTTGGTTTGTATATTTTACTGTAAGACCACTGCATTTTGGTACTTGTATATTTTGGTTTATTACAAGTTTAGAAATAATTTTAGATGCATTTTCTGCAATCAGGTAGCATTTGGAACCAAGCACATTACATATATTACTCCACTGCTGGCAGTCCTGTGTAAACAGTAAAATTAAACTATTAGAAGTTAAAGGATTCATTTCAGCGCTACATATATATTTACATAGATTAAATTCTGACCACACTGTGGTGATGGTAAAACTGCCACTAACTCCAATGAAGCTGGAATTTTACCTTGGGATACCAATCTCTCACACAGAAAAGGTAGTATTTTCACTAAATGGAGGCAAATAAAATATAACACTGGCATTTTCTTTGGCTTACAGGGTTTTGTTAGGGGACAGAATTTAAGACAGAAGCAAAAAATCTTACTTAATATATTATAATAAATTCTAGATTTCAGTCACTTGATCCAGTGTAAAACAAAATAACTTTCACTTGTGATTATTTATTTAAATGCCAGATCATTAAATAGTAATGATATGGAACAAAAAAGTATAGAATCAGTGACACACATTAAGACAAGAAGATCAGATCTACAGGGACACTCATGGGAACAGACAATTTCCAAAGTTCTCTTTTGGTACGTTTTATATTTCTAGTAGTTTTTGTATTTAGTGGACTGTCCATGTATTACAGAATTGTTCCCCCACCCTCACACACACACACTTATTGTCAGTAACAAAGGGTTTTTGACAGCTAGCTTACAAATTAACTTTCTCCTTTTTGTGTTCACCAATTATGTGACTTCTAAATTCTAAGATTTAAGATTTCTGAATTTCTTCAGTTCATGCAAGAAGGGTGAATATACTAAAAATGTGCACTATGTAGGCCTGCAGTTCACAAAGCATTTAAGTACATGCTTAAGTCACACTGGAGCTAATGGCACTTTAAGGATATGCCTAACATGCAGCAAACACTTAAAGTGCAAACAGACATCAGCCTTGTTCTACCATAAAAATGTTTACAACAGCACAAGTTGCAAGTGAACAGACATCCCTGCCCTTTGTCGCACGCCAGTTACCCAAAAATGTCTGTGCAGCCAAACCTAGTTACAGTTTGTGACGCCTTAGGGGAGGACATCTGTTCCCTCATTGCAGGCACAACCTGGTGATTCCCAGGGCACACATTTCATGCTAATGTGTCTGCAAGCAGGGGAAACCTGCTCCCCCACTTGCAGACACATGCCCCAAGAATCCCCTAAAGGGAATTTACCAAGGCACATTTCATGCTGCTGTGCCTAGACCCTACTCGCTTCCCCACTTGCAGAAACATTCCCCAAGAATCCACCTGCAGAGGAAATTCCCAGGACACATGTCTTCAGTGCAGGTTCCCTGTTTCCAGACACACACCCAGGGTCAGGGTGCAGCACCTGGGGGCCACTGTCCTGCAGGATCAGACCCCTGAAGCCCTGGGAGCAGCTTGGGTGCACCCCTGCAGGACAAATGCCCTGGCAATGTCTGATTCTGCTGATCAATCTGATCACTTGTCAGGAGTCATCATAGCAGAGCCGATGCCACAACATGAACAACCTCTGTTCGTAGCCTCACTTAAGTATTTAGTTGTATAAGAACAGATTGCTGAATATGGACCAGATTAGTACTGATTCTCAAGCATTTGAATATTTATAGGAAACCTGTGTTATAAGTTTGCTAAATTATTGTTTCTTAATACTAAACTATTTTGGCTACCCTTAGTTTTCGATACTGGAAATGCAAGTCAGTGAATATCAGAGGGATTGGTGGAAACTAGGCAGGGAACAATGTGGGCTTCCAGAATCTGAGGAGGTATACAAGTAAATTTGTGACTTCAGGAGAAGCAAAACTGAGTAACATTCCTGCTATAGAATGATCAGCAGTGAAGAAACTTGACATGTTTGTTGTTTAAGTTGTTACCTTTAAGCTTTGGAGTAAATAACTCCACTGAGGTGAATGAGGCAGTTCATTCATCCCAGAACTAGTTTCAGGCTACTGGCAGATTCAGAAAGACTACACTGCTTTGGCTTACCTTTAATTCACATTTTAAGGTAGTCTCACAAATATGAAGAATCAAAACCTACATTAATTGTATCAGAACACTTTAGATTTTGATGCAGTAAGGCTTGAATTCCATATTAAATGTGTGGCTGCAGAACCATGAAATAAAGAGGGACTCAATCTATAGGTTTTTTTCCCCCTTCTTGCAGAAAGACAGTGAACCTTAATATTTACATAACTGGAAAAATGTTATAACCGCTGATATTTACAATTACAAAATCCGTTCCTTTCCAGCAGGGGTTGACAACCTTAGGCCACTGGGCAGGATCCAGGGAGCCATTGCATCTGGCCTATGGACGTGGAGCTTCAGAGATTGCAGGAGTTCCCCCCATGCTGCTGTCAGGGTAAGCGGTGGTGGCAACCACCTTCCAGCACCCAGCCACCTCTGACCCAGGATGGTTCATTCCAGCCCACAGCCAGAAAAGTTTGCCTGCCCCTGCTTAATAATATTCTGATTAACTATAATCATTTATTGACCCTTTTTATTTAATTCTAATCTTACCAGCACTTTAATCAATAGTGTTCTACCACTCCTTTTAATTCTAAGCAGTATTTTCAAATGTAATTTTATGTTGCAGTGTGAGTGTAGATTTTGGTGGTTATAATATCATAGCAATTTACTTAATTATCAAATGATTGTAAGGAATGTATGGCTATATCCAAATGATTTTCTTCTGATACAAAACTAGTCTTTCACTTTTTAAATAGTTTTTGAAATCTGCTTGATTGCACAAGAAAGGATGTGCAATTAAAATGGAAGTGGCTAAGCAAAACCAATCTGCTAGAACTTCATTTTCCTGTAATTTTTTTTAAAACCTCTTACATGCTGTAAATCTATCCACATACTATCCATATCAATCAGGATTAATTTTCTATTAAAAGTCATGTCAAAAGTATGGTAAGTTTACAGCCACTACCACCAAATGCTGGATATTAAGTATAACGCATTTTCATACTAATATTTATGCATCTTTCTCCAAGAGAGTGAAAAATGCCCCTTACTGGGTCTTCTGTGCAAGCTCAGTGAACTTTCTCTTGTAGTTCTTGTTTGTTTGTTTTCTTAGTAATTTATTAGATTTATATCCCATTCTATCCAGAAACTCAGTTCACATGACCTGTTCTGATAGCTAACAGCATTTAGTTATGCCCTGACAGGGAGAACCTAAGTAGGTTGTACAGAGTGCATAAATATGCAGAGGAATGAATTTCAGTCACAGTGTGTTTTGCTTTATTATCTGTTGCCCAGGGCAAAATCTCAAAGCTTGCTAAAAGTCTTTGTCGGGCTCAGCAACTATATGCATTTAAGGAAGAGTTTAATGATGGTAAGGTGTCCTCTAAAAATGTCTTACCTCTTTCCTCAGAGGATCTACTAATGCAATAATAAAGGGATATTTATTAATCAGGTCCACATACATATCAACTAGTTCTTCAGGACTCTTGAGTGTTCCAGTGAGTGTTTCATATTTTCCTTTTGTCTAAAATTGCAAGTAAAATGCATAAAAGATAAGAATGGTAGCAATTTTGTAGTAAGAAACTACTAAGGCAGTCATGCAGATCCAGTGGCCACAAAACCCTCCATAAAGGAATGCATGTTGTATTGTGTCAGTAATCATTCAAGACTGAATCTGACCCAGGGCTGCTTCATTCAGTGTCTGTGCTCTAACTGAGCAGCATTATGTAAAACAAAATACAGTTTCATCGTTTAGCCTCCTCTACCCAAGTTAAATAAAAAATACTGGTAACATCAAATTTTTCCAAATCAGTTTTTGTCAGAGATAAGGCCACCTTCTGACTGTCTTTGAGGCTAGCAGTTGCCTGCATGTATGAAATGCTGTTTAAACCTCCTGTAATTGTCCATTTTTCCATGTGGGTATTTTCTTAGATCATTTTGTTCCTGGTACTCTGTGGCGGTTAGTAATCACTCCAAACTAAGAAGTTTGCATCAATCAATGTCAGTCCTTAATGATCATCCTTGTGTAAGATAAGCCTCCGTATTAACTTAACACCAATTTCAATTGTTGCATGACAGAGCTTCTTAAAGATACAGTTCCCCACACCATCCCTATTTCAGCCCAGACACTCTTAACTGTTTATGCAAAGCACTCCATAAAAATTTAAACTTTCTGGTTTAAATTTGCTGGAAATGCTGGAAAATAGTAATCAAGTGTATTGTAAAATTCCAAGGTATTATCCCACCCCCACCCCCAGAAAAGTTTTTTTTTTTTTAAATATCATGATGGGGGGGAAAGGCTGATTCATTATTTTTATATGTTTAAAGACTGTACCACTATCGCATATAAGAATTGTTAAAAAAAAAAAAAGTGTTACATTTATACCAAAAAGCCCTTGTTTTCAACACTAACAGAGCCTGAAGATTGTGACATTTCCTGGTATTTTCTCATTTAAGGTTCTGTTCATCCTAAAGTAGGCTTTGTATGTACCAAGCTGGTTCCAGTGGATGTGGTTTCCATTATACATTGTTAGCTTGTAACATGGTTCTGACATTGACAGTGCTGCTAAAATGTTAGAAACAGAATTGTACTGATGTTTTTCTAGCTAAAGAGCATCCAGATTGATTTTGAACTTAAACAAGAGAAAAGAAAACTTTTCAGAATTCCCAATTGAGGTACATGAGGTACATAAATCTGACTAGATCCCCAAAACTTGCCAAAGTGGGAATTATATAAATGCTGACAGCCAATTATTGAAAGGCTTTTGAGTGTATTCAAGATTACTCAATATTGAAAATGTACCAAGCAATAACTCCCTGCTTTGTGGTGTGCGCGCCTGAAAAAACAACAGATGTAGTACATTAAAGTAAAGAAACAAAAGACTGGTACGAATGCATCAAAGCAAGAATACTTTGAAGAATATGAAAATAGATTTCATTTGTGCATTGGAGTGGTACCACAGAAGCTGAAGTAGTCTTTTTGCTTCTGGAGACTTGGATTCAGATGTGGTTTAGGTTGTAAGAGAAATTAAATTGCCTTATTCAGTTTAACTTGCATGGTAACTTGTCAATTGGATTGAACTGCGTTAATGGACAATAAATGACCAGTAAAATCTCAGAAGTGGAATTCTGGCTGGCACAGACAGCTTTTTAGCATTTCAGTTCTGAAGGCCCAATCATGAAACTGCATGGGTTTCTGTAAGGCAGATCACAGCTGCTATATAAGGCCATGAGTTGGAATAGCTGTCATAGTCTATTGTGCCTTTCTTCATATAAAGCTTAATTTCAGTTTACCCATGTGAGGGAGGGGTTGACCCTTGGTCCCTACACTGTCATGCAAAGAAGACACTACTACAGAGCTCTGCTGCTCAGTACGCAAGGGGGTGAGAAGAATGTTGAGTGGTCTCTCTGCTACTTGCTTCCTTCTATTCACCATCCAGTAACATTTCTGTTGGGTTTGGACCATGCACACTATGTAGGGCTGACTGTTCAGAGCCTAGTATATCGGAGCAGAGACTTTCTTTTGGTTACATATGTTATGCAGTATAGAAATACTTGGGTTAGAGCCTCTAGATATTATTGCAATACTGATAATAATTAATAATTTGAATAACATTACTTTAAAATCCATTAACATAGTTAACTGAGAATGACTTACATAGTCCATCAATTCATGAGCAGCACAGTTGATTGCTAAATAAACATCTATTCCTAGTTCCAGGCCTATGTTCCTGCAAGCTGTTTGCACTAAGACCAGAGGTTGTTCTAGAGTATCAAATCCTGTTGTTAGGCAGCCCAAGTGTGATATTCTTTTTAAAACTGGTGGCTGAAAATAAAGCAGAAATAATCTCCATATTAATATATGTGAAACTATACAAAGCAGTAGCATTTAGTTCAGAAAATGTCCCCTCTCACAAATTACACTGTAAACC